AAGACAAAACAATCATTCTTAACATTTAAAAACACTCTCAAATTCATTGCACCAAAACCTTACTCCTTTCTGTAGTGTTATTTGTTTCAGCCGTCCCAATCATCGTTCTAGTTAGTTTTTCCCAAGAAAAACTCATTCATTGTTTCCATTTCATTCGGATTGGAATGGCCACAACAACCCCAAAGTTGATCTCTGACAAGAACGAGATGCGAAACTGGTCTCGCTCCATGCGGGCCCAAGGCAAGCTAATTGGGTTTGTCCCCACCATGGGCTTCCTCCACGCCGGCCACCTCTCTCTCGTCTCCCAGGCCCGCTCCCTCTGCGACGTGGTCGCCGTCTCCATCTACGTCAACCCGGGCCAGTTCGCGCCCTCCGAGGACCTCTCCACCTACCCCTCCGATTTCCAAGGCGACCTCCGCAAACTCGCCGCGCTGCCCGGCGGCGTCGACGTCGTCTTCCACCCCCACAATCTGTATGATTATGGACATAATAGTGCTGACGTGGCGGGTGAGGGAGGTGGCCCGGCGGCGTCTTGCGTTGATGGTGATGGGTCGGGGCACGAGACTTGGGTGAGGGTTGAGAAGCTAGAAGTGGGATTGTGTGGGAAGAGTAGGCCCATTTTCTTCAGAGGGGTGGCTACTATAGTGACCAAATTGTTCAACATTGTGGAACCGGATGTGGCTGTGTTCGGGAAAAAGGATTATCAGCAGTTGAGAGTTATTCAGAGGATGGTAACCAATTTCTCAGAGCTTTTCTGTTTTGATTTATTGGGAAAAAAATAATATTTTTTTGTTTAAACAGGGTAAATGACAATTTATGCATATCATACCTAAATAGATTGGTAACTGAATTATGACACGTTAACGTTAATATCGTACCTAGTTCTCTGGGAACAATGTCAGTCATTAATGAAAAATCTATGAAGTTAGCATTGTCAACCAAATTTGTTTATGCTATGCTTACTGCTGTTTTAGATGTTGGTTCATACACTGACTGATTAATGATTTTTTGTAGGTTCGAGATCTTGATTTTTCCATAAAAGTGATCGGTGCTGAAATAACACGTGAGAGTGATGGCCTGGCAATGAGTTCACGTAATGTGCACCTTTCACCTGAAGAGAGGGAAAAGGTATTTTGTTTAACCAATCATTTTTAACTGCTCAAAACCAGCAGTGACATTTAACTGTAAAGCATCTTGAAAGAATATGTAAAGATTATGTTCCAGAGCTTTTCTTTTCTCATCATCCACTTCACTTTCAGCTGCACTAAGCCTTAACAAATTCTTAGTATACTTTGCCTTCTATCTAGAGAGATTTATTTCAATCCTTTTCAGGCACTTTCAATAAATAAATCTTTGTTAAAAGCTAAATCTGCAGCAGAAGATGGTGAAGTGCGTTGTGAGAAGTTGAGCAATTTGGTCATACAATGTATTGCTGAGGCCGGTGGAAGGATTGATTATGCTGAGGTAAGATGCAAAATACTTTTCTGTCCTGTGCTTAATTTGAAAGTGCATAATTAATGAATTAAGGCCAGAGTTACTTTGGCAATGACGTATGTATTATTAAAATATATTTGGATTCAACAAATCCTTGAATGAAGCCAAAACAGTACAGAAGTAGAATTTATGAATAATAGATGGTATTCTTAGTGCAACTACATACGAATTCCTGCAGATTGTTGATCAAAATAATTTGGAAAAAGTGGAACAGATCAAGGGTCCTGTTGTCTTTTGCATCGCTGCATGGTTTGGGAAAGTCAGACTTATAGACAACATGGAAATCAACTTGTCCATAGGTGTTTAGTCACCTTCTATTATCTCAGACATGGACCACACGCGTGATAGTTCGGGCCACATGCTTAAGAGTTCACTGTTAGGTCATGATAGATTTTTGCCAACTATGCATGATTACCTTTAGATGCATTTTTCCACATTATGAAAGAGAGCTGCTACCAGTGGACACTTCTGGGAATCAATCAACTGGGTTGTTTCCTTTTTAATAAGGAACTCATGTTTATTCATACTCGAGTTCAACTATTTGTTGAATAAAACCTCCATGAATGTGAGAAGGGAAGACTGGAATTTATTGAGTACAAATAATGGGATTGAAGGTTCAACTATTTTTTCTTCAAGATTTATTTTATCGTTATCGTTTTATATATTATGCATTTTTATGTGTTCCATATAGTTGTATTAGATTTTCACAAAATGATGATTTTATTAGTACATATTGGTGAAGTGCTTGATATTAGTATTTGATATGTGAAGCAAATTGAAGTTTTGGTGCTTCATAGTTTTAGATACTTCACCTATGTGTATTGGTGAAGTATCAATATCTGATATGTAGTAGATACAAATGCATGAGAAGCAAATTGAAGTATTAGTGCTTCATAGTTCATGGTTTTCTTCATACAATCTTGCAGGACTATAGATCCTCAAAACAACAATAAAATTGAAGAAGTATTCCTACTCTTAGATACTTTGCAATGTAGCTTCATCCTGCAATTCGGTAACTTTGATCTCAGTATTGTCTACAACGGATTATATTTGTATAGGGTATGCTTTATAAATATATTTGCTTAAGTTATAATAGTAAGGAACTAATGATATAATTTGATTTAAGTGTCTCACAAAACCAAATAATTAGCCTGGCTTAATATTGGCTGTCTTTTGTCCTCGCATATGGTACCCTTCTTGTTTCATTTGTTTTCTTCCCTACATTCTTTATTTTAACTTTGTTAAACCCTGGTCACAGATTGTATTAAACTAATACGTGGCTGCCTTACATTCCAATGTATGCTGTGACTTTGCTAAGACTAAATAATTCATTGGAGCTGCTGCCTCACAAACGTAATGATGTCAATTTGTAATGTCGCCTAATTACTCTTTGCTCTTTTTAAGTATTAGATTATCTTTATTTGGGGATTTTAATGGATTTCCAATAGTTGTTACCAGGAAGGAACATTCATGTTGTTGGTCCACTAATTGAGAGTCTGCATCTTGCTTTCTCCATGGTTCACAAGAAGGATTATTCTATTTCTAGGTCCATGAGGATCCTACATGAAAGTTCATAACAATTGACAAGGGATTGATTGAGAAGCTGTGTTCCATCAAATGTTTCTTTTTCTTGGTTTCTTTCTGTTGTGTACTTTTGCCCAATCCTCTCTTTTTTTTTTCGATTTTTGTTCTATCTCAGTTTTCATAATAAAAAGTAAAAGAGTAAATTATACTCATTTCCTTTGTGTTTTATTTGGATTTCACCTTAGACAACTCCATTATTTTGCATTACTTTTACCCTCTTAAGAAAATGACATTAACTAACATTTTTTTCTTTTAGTTGAATAATGAAAGTGTCCTACTCCACTTTTGTAAAACAGAAAATGTCTTCTCACTTAACTCCCGAATCTGGCTACCTCCTATTAAAATCCAAAACCTTACTTTCTTTGTGTAAGTATGCCTGTTTTTGGCTCTCATGTGCATCCCCACGCCAATGATGGTGCATTGTTGCTGAAGCTGGCAAAGGCTTTTGAGCGCAATGTAAATGAGGTGGTTGGTGTGTATCTTCTGTGATTGGATGAAACTTCGGTTTTGCACAAATCTTGGAGCCCAAATGCTACTTTTCTTAATGTGTCAACTTTATTCTCCGGCCAATCAAAATGCTCAAGGACAACCTTCTTATCTACCATTGAAAGCACACAATTAAAGTTCCATTAGATGACATTTTAGATAGTATTCACAAATTTCGTAGGAATAATAGAAATGAATCTCATAAGATCCTATAAATAATAGTGGCAACATTTTAATTGTTTGATGGATAATTTGAACATGCTTACTCTACTTTGTGCATGCATAATTTTAAACTATAAAGGTCATAAGAAAAATAACTTACAAGTCAATTATAGTTCCATTAGATGACATTTTAGATAGTATTCACAAATTTCGTAGGAATAATGGAAATGAATCTCATAAGATCCTATAAATAATAGTGTCAACATTTTAATTGTTTGATGGATAATTTGAACATGCTTACTCTACTTTGTGCATGCATAACTTCAAACTATAAAGGTCATAAGAAAAACAACTTACAAGTAAGCAGAGTTCAATTTTGACATTAGAGTTTTGCAGTAAATTTCAAGCTACGAAGGTCATAAGAAAAACATCTTACAAGTAAGCAGATTTATATTTTGACATTAGAGTTTAGCAGTTAATTTTAATTTTTGAATTTCATAAGAAAAACATTTTACAATTAAGCAGATTTATATTTTGACAGTAAAGTTTAGCAGCTGATTTTATTTTTTCAATTCTTTAACCCACTAACTGACACTGTCGTCAAAATATCATGATTATTTGAATGAGCATATTCATCTTCCTTTTCTTAAGGATTTTCATTTAGAAGAGATTTCGAAGCAGGTTCATTTTTGACCATGTTCCAAGTTTACTGTTGTCATGACAGGCTGAGTATCATCCTGTTGTTAAATGTACTTATTTTTGTTTTAGTTCCAAAGTTATTTTAACTTGTTTGATAATGCAGTCGACATAATACATATATATTTGTCTTAATTGTGAATACAATGTTACATAAAAAGCATACATTCAAATCTTACATATTCTGGTCATTGTATATTTGCTTACATGCACCTCCCTAGTACTATTGAGAAGTTATAAACCTTGTTCCATACAACATACACTTGACATGGAATGAAATAACTCATGGCGCATGATGCATAGATATGATATATCTATCATGTATGATATGGCACATGATGCATAGCTATGATATATCTATCATGTATGATATGTATTCTACACAACAATTTGATTATTCTAAAAGTATATAGGACATGATGTGTAAGATACATATTTAAAAATTGAAAAGAATAAAAAAATTATGCAATCAGAAAAAAAAGGGAGGAAAATGGCATGCACTCAGAAAAATTACAAAGACCCAATTTAGAAAATCCTTCGAATCCCAAATCGTCACTGCCTCATCTCTTTTGCAAAACCCTAACTTCGGAAAGCCGTAGCGAAGACGTTACCATTGTCGCGCTACAAAGCCGAATCGCCATGGTCAAGGTGATATTAGCAAAAGAGTAAAGAGATGGTCAAAACCAGGATCTCCATGGTAGCTTGCAATTCCATTTTCATCCTTCTCAAAGAGCTAAAAATGTAAATTAGCTTCTGCAATTAAAGTTGACCTTTTCTCATTCTGGTTTGTATGCACAATTTTTCTGATCTATATACAAAAAAATTCAAGTTGCTCAAAAAGTTTAAAGTAGTCTTTGAAATTCCTAATCATTTGAAAACCGAAACTTCACGCGTTGTAGAGCTGAGTTATCTTTCTCGTTTTGATTGAGGAATCAAAACAGAGATTCAGAAAAAAAAAATAAAGTACCCCTGATTCTCGGTTGTGTTTTCGAAACTATCCCTGTTTATGTCCCCGAACACAGTTTTGGTTTTGCTCTTTGTCTTCTCTCATTCTGTTTGGGTCTTTGCCTTGTCTTTGTCTTTTTGTTTTCTTGTTTGGCGTTTCGTCTGCCATGATTAGAGGCAAAGATCTTGTTCCCAATGGTGTGGACACCGAGGGAGAGAACTCAAGGAGCAAGGTGTAGTGCCCTCAACATCGTGATTTTTCTTAGGGTAAGGAACGCCCACAAGAGAAAAAGCAAAAGGAAGGAGAAGAATCTTTGCGCAAGATAGAAGACCAAAACGAAGGAGAAGAAGAGAAGGATTGCCATGTTATAATTTCTTAAATAAAAAAAATCCACATAATAAAATATTTTGACATCAGCGTATTAACGGTTAAGGCAAAATTGACTCAATTTTACAAATATTTGGACCCAATTGAGATATTTTGCAAATATATGGACCCAAATGAGACAGTTGGAAATAAGATGATCCACTTGAGATTCTCATACAAATAAGAGGATCATTCGAGAGTTTAAACCTTATTTATACTAAGAAATGCACTTTAAGCCTAACTCAATCCCACAAAATCGGCTTGTAAAGTGAAGTTTGCACTCTACTTATATATTATAATTTGGTCTTATTTCTAGTTGATGTGAGACTTCCAACACATCCCCTGATGTATAAATATCTTGAGCATGAGAGTAGAATTAATAGGTGGTCCGATAGTGGCCCGAGAACGGATGAAACATAATGCCCACATAGATCTTGCTAGAAAAGGTTCCAATCATAGCTCTAATATCTTATAAGAAAAGAAAACATGAAAATTGTATATCTTATTTAATGACAAGAAAAAAATATAATTTATATACATAACTGTTTAAAATAATATAAAAAGAAATATAAATATAAAAATAGAACATAAATATATCAACATAAATCAACATATGAACAAAAATAAATTAAATCTAATAATTTATTTGATAAATAATGCATGTAGGATTCTTTCCTGTGATGAACTATAACCTATGTGCAGGGAAAATTTTATGCTGTCTCATTCTATAGTGACTTTTGAATGGACTGCATTATATATATATATATATATAATATAGATATATATATATATATATATATATATATATATATTATAATATATATATATTATATATATATATATATATTTTCTTCTACATGTGTAATTCTCTGTTGCAGGCACATATTGTGTTTTGATCAATTTTATATCTTTGTCTTGCAGAAAAAGCACGACACCATAAAAGATTAAAAGTATTAAGATTATTTTTTTAAGTTAATCATATAATGTTTAAATTAAGATAATTTATATCAAAGTTATTTATAATTTTCTATAAATAGTATTTTAGTATGTCTGGTGTACAAGGTAAATATAAATATAATTTTAATATAGTTGTAAATCATAATAAGTGCATTTTTATTATTTAAGTTATATTATAATGAAATTTGAAACCCTACTATATAATAAAAACTTTGAAACCTCATTCAACTTAGAACCTTTACAACAAAACAAATTAGTTAGAGAAATAAACTTACATGGAGAAAATAAAAGCACAATATAAACAATGATAATTTAGGTGAGAAACTAAATTTCCTTCTTAGAAGGAAAAATAATTTATAAAAATTTACATTTTATTTCTTTGCTTTTGTTTTTGAAAAGAGAAAGATGAATCTATTTGAAAGTTTTAGTCAATCAAAACATACTTAATTGGTTAAAATATATGCTTCAGAAAAGATTTCAGTATTTGAATACGTTAGTGGTTTTAATCAATTAATTCTTTATTTTAATAATTTAAAATAAACATATTCAAAACAAAATATGATAACAGGACTCTATTTAGATTTTTAATCCAATTCTTTATCACTCAAAAAAGCTTTGCTACTCAATTATTAATCAAATTGCAAAGGTTTTCCCGCAATTTGATTCAGGCAAAGTTCATTATAATCAACTTTTCACAAAATTTATTTTCTTTATTGTTTCTTCAAATAGCTTGCTTAGCATATTAAAATAATCTGCTCTCTGTCATAATCAATAACTAAATTATTCAATTTTTCATAAAAAAATATTAATAATTTATAACTTAAAAAAAGTAATTTTAAAAACAACTATACTAAAATATAATAAAAAAATATGAATATCTATTTAAAATTTAAAACAACGCGAATGACATTTTATTAAAAGTATAATATGCGTAAATATAAATCTTGAAATGTGAATATCTTCAATACTTTCTCTTAAATTTTGTGAATACTTCTTTAATTAAATCATAGTTTTAAAAATCAACCTAACACTGATTTTAAAAAATTTATACTATCTTAAAATTGTAAATTGACAAATAAAAAAAATAAAAAAGCTAGTTGTACAAAAGCTTGTTATTTAAGTGGGTAACCCTTCACAGATTCCAAGCCTCAACATTTATGCTAAAATGTAATAAAAAAAGTCCCACATGGGTCTGCTACAAAACAGAAGACCGACCAAAACGCAGACGCTGAGGTCGTCTCTTTTTCTTCTTAAAATATATAGAAAAGGAACGCAACACAATCTTACTAGTCAAAAACAAAATTAAAAAAAAGAGCAAAGAGGAAGCGAATAAGGACAATTTCACCGCTACACCCTCCACTCAGTCCCGAGTTGTTCACCCCAGCTGATGCTATCTCCAACTTCAAACCCTCCAATTAATCAAACAATGACCACTCTTCCCCAATCTCATAACCCCTCCATGGATAACCAAATCCACCGAAACGGCGCGGTAGAGCCAAACCACCACGCCGCCAAGAAACCCAAACTCGCCCACTCCATTTCCGACTCCGAGATCCACGACGAATTCTCCCACCACCAACGTGGCGTCGCTAGGATCAATAACGGCAGCTTCGGAAGCTGCCCGCGCTCCGTTCTCGCGGCGCAGTCCGTATGGCAGCTCCGCTTTCTCCAGCAGCCCGACGACTTCTTCTTTAACGTGCTCCGTGGCGGCATCCTGGAATCGCGAGCCGTAGTCGCAGACCTAATCAATGCCGACCACGTCGACCGCGTCTCCCTCGTCGACAACGCCACCACGGCCGCCGCCATCGTCCTCCAGCAGATTGGCCGCCGCTTCGTGCGCGGGCATTTTCACCGAGAGGACTCTGTTATAATGTTCCACTGTGCGTACCAGGCGGTTAAGAAGTCCATCGAAGCCTACGTGACTCCGATCGGCGGTACCGTCGTCGAGGTCCAGCTCCCATTCCCGGTGCGTTCTGACGAGGAAATCGTAACCGAGTTCAAGAAAGGCATTGAGAAAGGTAAACTCAACGGCGGAAGAGTCAGGTTAGCGATAATCGATCACGTAACGTCGATGCCTTCTGTGGTTCTCCCCGTTCGCGAATTGATTAAGGTTTGCAGAGAACAAGGAGTGGAACAGGTTTTCGTCGACGGCGCTCACGCCATTGGAAGCTTGCCCGTGGACGTGAAGGAAATTGGGGCTGATTTTTACGTGAGCAATTTATATAAGTGGTTTTTCTCTCCGCCTTCGGTGGCTTTTTTGTACTGTAAAGAGAGTTCAAACGACGTGCACCACCCTATCGTTTCACAGGAGTACGGAAAGGGTTTACCGGTTGAGAGTGCATGGGTTGGGATGCGGGACTATAGCCCCCAACTTGTTGTGCCATCGATTTTGGACTTCGTGAATCGGTTCGAGGGTGGGATTGCGGGGATCATGCAAAGGAACCATAATGCGGTAGTGAAAATGGGGATCATGTTAGCGGAGTCTTGGGGAACGAATCTAGGGTCGCCTCCTGAGATGTGCGCTAGCATGATTATGGTGGGGTTGCCTTCTAAGCTCTGCGTGATGAGTGATGATGATGCCTTGCGGTTAAGGTCTTACCTAAGGGTCTATCACGCAATTGAGGTTCCTGTATATTACCAGGTTTTGAGGAATGATGATAGGGATCCCAGGGACAAGAATGGGTTTATAACTGGTTATGTCCGGATATCTCATCAAGTTTATAATACTATTGATGATTATCAGAAGCTTAAGTCAGCGATTAATCAGATTTTGGAGGATGGGAAAATTTGCGGCGGGCTTCCTACGGAGTGATTTGCAAGAAGAGAAATAAAGAGGTATACGTTTTACTCATTCCTGGCCGGCTTTGGATTGAGTTAGATGTATCTTCAGTGACATTTTATGCGCATGCCTGCTGTTGTTGTTCTGCATTCTCTAGGTTTTTTAGTCTTGAATATCTTATAACTGAAGAAGTATTCCTACTCTCAGATACTTTGCAATGTAGCTTCATAGTGCAATTCGATAACTTTGATCTCAGTATTGTCTACAACGGATTATATTTGTATAGCGTATGCTTTATAAATATATTTGCTTAAGTTATAATAGTAAGGAACTAATGATATAATTTGATTTAAGTGTCTCACAAAACCAAATAATAAGCCTGACTTAATATTGGCTGTCTTTTGTCCTCGCATATGGTACCCTTGTTTCATTTGTTTTCTTCCCCACATTCTTTATTTTAACTTTGTTAAACCCTGGTCACAGATTCTATTAAACTAATACGTGGCTGCCTTACATTCCAAAGTATGCTGTGCCTTTGCTAAGACTAAATAATTCATTGGAGCTGCTGCCTCACAAACGTAATGATGTTAATTTGTAATGTCGCCTAATTACTCTTTGCTCTTTTTAAGTATTAGATTATCTTTATTTGGGGATTTTAATGGATTTCCAATAGTTGTTACCAGGAAGGAACATTCATGTTGTTGGTTTGGTTGACTAATTGAGAGTCTGCATCTTGCTTTCTCCATGGTTCACAAGAAGGATTATTCTATTTCTAGGTCCATGAGGATTACATGAAAGTTCATAACAATTGACAAGGGATTGATTGAGCAGCTATGTTCCGTCAAATGTTTCTTTTTCTTGGTTTCTTTCTGTTGTGTACTTTTGTCCAATCCTTTCTTCTTTTTTTTCGATTTTTGTTCTATTTCAGTTTTTATAATAAAAAGTAAACGAGTAAATTATACTCATTCCCTTTGTGTTTTATTTGGATTTCACCTTATACAACTCCATTAATTTGCATTACTTTTACCCTCTTTAAGAAAATGACATTAACTAACATTTTATTTTATTTTTAGTTTAATAATGAAATTGTCCTACTCCACTTTTGTAAAACNATACTTAATTGGTTAAAATATATGCTTCAGAAAAGATTTCAGTATTTGAATACGTTAGTGGTTTTAATCAATTAATTCTTTATTTTAATAATTTAAAATAAACATATTCAAAACAAAATATGATAACAGGACTCTATTTAGATTTTTAATCCAATTCTTTATCACTCAAAAAAGCTTTGCTACTCAATTATTAATCAAATTGCAAAGGTTTTCCCGCAATTTGATTCAGGCAAAGTTCATTATAATCAACTTTTCACAAAATTTATTTTCTTTATTGTTTCTTCAAATAGCTTGCTTAGCATATTAAAATAATCTGCTCTCTGTCATAATCAATAACTAAATTATTCAATTTTTCATAAAAAAATATTAATAATTTATAACTTAAAAAAAGTAATTTTAAAAACAACTATACTAAAATATAATAAAAAAATATGAATATCTATTTAAAATTTAAAACAACGCGAATGACATTTTATTAAAAGTATAATATGCGTAAATATAAATCTTGAAATGTGAATATCTTCAATACTTTCTCTTAAATTTTGTGAATACTTCTTTAATTAAATCATAGTTTTAAAAATCAACCTAACACTGATTTTAAAAAATTTATACTATCTTAAAATTGTAAATTGACAAATAAAAAAAATAAAAAAGCTAGTTGTACAAAAGCTTGTTATTTAAGTGGGTAACCCTTCACAGATTCCAAGCCTCAACATTTATGCTAAAATGTAATAAAAAAAGTCCCACATGGGTCTGCTACAAAACAGAAGACCGACCAAAACGCAGACGCTGAGGTCGTCTCTTTTTCTTCTTAAAATATATAGAAAAGGAACGCAACACAATCTTACTAGTCAAAAACAAAATTAAAAAAAAGAGCAAAGAGGAAGCGAATAAGGACAATTTCACCGCTACACCCTCCACTCAGTCCCGAGTTGTTCACCCCAGCTGATGCTATCTCCAACTTCAAACCCTCCAATTAATCAAACAATGACCACTCTTCCCCAATCTCATAACCCCTCCATGGATAACCAAATCCACCGAAACGGCGCGGTAGAGCCAAACCACCACGCCGCCAAGAAACCCAAACTCGCCCACTCCATTTCCGACTCCGAGATCCACGACGAATTCTCCCACCACCAACGTGGCGTCGCTAGGATCAATAACGGCAGCTTCGGAAGCTGCCCGCGCTCCGTTCTCGCGGCGCAGTCCGTATGGCAGCTCCGCTTTCTCCAGCAGCCCGACGACTTCTTCTTTAACGTGCTCCGTGGCTGCATCCTGGAATCGCGAGCCGTAGTCGCAGACCTAATCAATGCCGACCACGTCGACCGCGTCTCCCTCGTCGACAACGCCACCACGGCCGCCGCCATCGTCCTCCAGCAGATTGGCCGCCGCTTCGTGCGCGGGCATTTTCACCGAGAGGACTCTGTTATAATGTTCCACTGTGCGTACCAGGCGGTTAAGAAGTCCATCGAAGCCTACGTGACTCCGATCGGCGGTACCGTCGTCGAGGTCCAGCTCCCATTCCCGGTGCGTTCTGACGAGGAAATCGTAACCGAGTTCAAGAAAGGCATTGAGAAAGGTAAACTCAACGGCGGAAGAGTCAGGTTAGCGATAATCGATCACGTAACGTCGATGCCTTCTGTGGTTCTCCCCGTTCGCGAATTGATTAAGGTTTGCAGAGAACAAGGAGTGGAACAGGTTTTCGTCGACGGCGCTCACGCCATTGGAAGCTTGCCCGTGGACGTGAAGGAAATTGGGGCTGATTTTTACGTGAGCAATTTATATAAGTGGTTTTTCTCTCCGCCTTCGGTGGCTTTTTTGTACTGTAAAGAGAGTTCAAACGACGTGCACCACCCTATCGTTTCACAGGAGTACGGAAAGGGTTTACCGGTTGAGAGTGCATGGGTTGGGATGCGGGACTATAGCCCCCAACTTGTTGTGCCATCGATTTTGGACTTCGTGAATCGGTTCGAGGGTGGGATTGCGGGGATCATGCAAAGGAACCATAATGCGGTAGTGAAAATGGGGATCATGTTAGCGGAGTCTTGGGGAACGAATCTAGGGTCGCCTCCTGAGATGTGCGCTAGCATGATTATGGTGGGGTTGCCTTCTAAGCTCTGCGTGATGAGTGATGATGATGCCTTGCGGTTAAGGTCTTACCTAAGGGTCTATCACGCAATTGAGGTTCCTGTATATTACCAGGTTTTGAGGAATGATGATAGGGATCCCAGGGACAAGAATGGGTTTATAACTGGTTATGTCCGGATATCTCATCAAGTTTATAATATTATTGATGATTATCAGAAGCTTAAGTCAGCGATTAATCAGATTTTGGAGGATGGGAAAATTTGCGGCGGGCTTCCTACGGAGTGATTTGCAAGAAGAGAAATAAAGAGGTATACGTTTTACTCATTCCTGGCCGGCTTTGGATTGAGTTAGATGTATCTTCAGTGACATTTTATGCGCATGCCTGCTGTTGTTGTTCTGCATTCTCTAGGTTTTTTAGTCTTGAATATCTTATAACTGAAGAAGTATTCCTACTCTCAGATACTTTGCAATGTAGCTTCATAGTGCAATTCGATAACTTTGATCTCAGTATTGTCTACAACGGATTATATTTGTATAGCGTATGCTTTATAAATATATTTGCTTAAGTTATAATAGTAAGGAACTAATGATATAATTTGATTTAAGTGTCTCACAAAACCAAATAATAAGCCTGACTTAATATTGGCTGTCTTTTGTCCTCGCATATGGTACCCTTGTTTCATTTGTTTTCTTCCCCACATTCTTTATTTTAACTTTGTTAAACCCTGGTCACAGATTCTATTAAACTAATACGTGGCTGCCTTACATTCCAAAGTATGCTGTGCCTTTGCTAAGACTAAATAATTCATTGGAGCTGCTGCCTCACAAACGTAATGATGTTAATTTGTAATGTCGCCTAATTACTCTTTGCTCTTTTTAAGTATTAGATTATCTTTATTTGGGGATTTTAATGGATTTCCAATAGTTGTTACCAGGAAGGAACATTCATGTTGTTGGTTTGGTTGACTAATTGAGAGTCTGCATCTTGCTTTCTCCATGGTTCACAAGAAGGATTATTCTATTTCTAGGTCCATGAGGATTACATGAAAGTTCATAACAATTGACAAGGGATTGATTGAGCAGCTATGTTCCGTCAAATGTTTCTTTTTCTTGGTTTCTTTCTGTTGTGTACTTTTGTCCAATCTTTTCTTCTTTTTTTTCGATTTTTGTTCTATTTCAGTTTTTATAATAAAAAGTAAACGAGTAAATTATACTCATTCCCTTTGTGTTTTATTTGGATTTCACCTTATACAACTCCATTAATTTGCATTACTTTTACCCTCTTTAAGAAAATGACATTAACTAACATTTTATTTTATTTTTAGTTTAATAATGAAATTGTCCTACTCCACTTTTGTAAAACAGAAAATGTCTTCCACTTAACTCCCGAATCTGGCTACCTCCTATTAAAATCCAAAACCTTACTTTCTTTGTGGAAGTATTCCTGTTTTTGGCTCTCCTGTGCATCCCCACGCCAATGATGGTGCATTGTTGCTGAAGCTGGCAAAGGCTTTTGAGCGGAATGTAAATGGGGTGGTTGGTGTGTATCTTCTGTGATCGGATGAAACTTCGGTTTTGCACAAATCTTGGAGCCCAAATGCTACTTTTCTTAATGTGTCAACTTTATTCGCCAGCCAATCAAAATGCTCAAGGACAACCTTCTTATCTACCATTGAAAGGACACAATTATAGTTCCATTAGATGACATTTTAGATAGTATTCACAAATTTCGTAGGAATAATGGAAATGAATCTCATAAGATCCTATAAATAATAGTGTCAACATTTTAATTGTTTGATGGATAATTTGAACATGCTTACTCTACTTTGTGCATGCATAATTTTAAACTATAAAGGTCATAAGAAAAATAACTTACAAGTCAATTATAGTTCCATTAGATGACATTTTAGATAGTATTCACAAATTTCGTAGGAATAATGGAAATGAATCTCATAAGATCCTATAAATAATAGTGTCAACATTTTAATTGTTTGATGGATAATTTGAACATGCTTACTCTACTTTGTGCATGCATAATTTTAAACTATAAAGGTCATAAGAAAAACAACTTACAAGTAAGCAGAGTTCAATTTTGACATTAGAGTTTTGCTTTTAATTTTAAACTATAAAGGTCATAAGAAAAACAACTTACAAGTAAGCAGAGTTCAATTTTGACATTAGAGTTTTGCAGTAAATTTCAAGCTACGAAGGTCATAAGAAAAACATTTTACAAGTAAGCAGAGTTCAATTACGACAGTAAAGTTTAGCAGCTGATTTTACTTTTACAATTCTTTTAACCCACTATCTGACACGGTCGTCAAAATATCATGATTATTTGAATGAGCATATTCATCTTTCTTTTCTTAAGGATTTTCATTTAAAAGAGATTTAGAAGCAGGTTCATTTTTGACCATGTTCCAACTTTACTGTTGTCATGACAGGCTGAGTATCATCCTGTTGTTAAATGTACTTATATTTGTTTTAGTTCCAAAGTTATTTTAACTTGTTTGATAATGCAGTCGACATAATACATATATATTTGTCTTATTGGTGAATACAATGTTACATAAAAGGCATACATTCAAATCTCACATATTCTGGTCATGGTGTATTTGCTTACATGCACCTCCCTAGTACTATTGAGAAGTTATAAACCTTGTTCAATACAACATACACTTGACATGGAATGAAATAACTCATGGCGCATGATGCATAGATATGATATATCTATCATGTATGATATGTATTCTGTACAACAATTTGATTATTCTAAAAGTATATAGGACATGATGTGTAAGATACATATTTAAAAATTGCAAAGACATGATAACTATATAATTGTAATTCTACAACTCCAAATTATTACCATATTACCAAAATAATATATATATATATATATATATATATATATATATATATATAAATTATGGTTATCATAAATTACTTCATAGTAGTTAGATATAAGAATATTAGTATCAATCTCATTCTTTTGTTGAAATCATTCTTAGAGGGAACAATTACCAATTTGGTTCTTAAAGGGACAAGGTTTTTGTTGGAGATCTCATATTGACTAAAGATGTGGTTAAATTATAATATAATATATAAGTAAGAGGCAACCCTCATTTTACAAATTGGTTTTGTTGGTTTATGTTAGTTTCAAACTCACATTTTAAGAAGATATTGAAGATGGTTATTTGGAAATTCTCTTACTTGGGTGGAAATTGTGTTTGTGTGGCAGAGATCATGTGGGATAAGGTACAATTGAATCATGGGGCTTGGACAAGTACACCCTTAAGTAGAAGAAGTGGTGCTGTGATTATTAGCTATATCTTTTGGCCTCTTGTGGTAGGAGATTGATATAACAATTGATATCAAAATCAAGGTCACGAGTTTGATTCCTAGTAGGACAGTTATTGGGGAGAGATTGTTGTAGATTGCATCAATTGTTTGTGGCAGAGGCTAGGTGAGCCAAGTGTCAATTTGAGAGTTTGATTCCTAGTGCAACAATTAGTGAGGCGGAGATTGTTGTAGGGATTATCATTTGTTCTATGATAAAGGTTAGGTGGACCAAGTCACAATTGATTCGTGATGCTTAAGCTATTATGCTAGAAAAAGTTGCATTTTGACTATTAGCTATAACTTTTGGTCTAGTAAGCATTCGATCTAACAATTTACATCAATAGTTTGTTGCTCAGCCAAGCATTTTCTTTTACCCTTCTTTTAAGCAATTGTTGTTGGACCTATCACTCACTATTGGTTATTATCGTACCATTCATAAATATCTAATTTCACATTCAAGATGTTCAATCTTTGGCATGAGGGTGCTTCTTAAAGGTTGCATATTGACTAAAGATGTGATTAAATTATAATATACAAGTGAAGACATCTATCACCTTACAAGCTAATTTCTAATTATATTTATATATTATGCATTTTATGTGTTCCATATAGTTGTATTAGATTTTCACAAAATGATGATTTTATTAGTACATATTGGTGAAGTGCTTGATATTAGTATTTGATATGTGAAGCAAATTGAAGTTTTGGTGCTTCATAGTTTTAGATACTTCACCTATGTGTATTGGTGAAGTATCAATATCTGATATGTAGTAGATACAAATGCATGAGAAACAAATTGAAGTATTAGTGCTTCATAGTTCATGGTTTTCTTCAGACAATCTTGCAGGACTGTAGACACTCAAAACAACAATAAAGGTATCGTTTTCCTTCAATCTATTACAAATCTCCTAAGACCTCTCTTTGCAACCACATTTAGCATACATTTTAAAGTACAAACTACAATATCACCACAATTTTGTTTTCTAACTTTCAAGAAATATTATCCCTTTTAACATTTGTGACTAGGAGTGGGTGTTTGGGCTAAAGCTGGCAGGCTACTCTTATAATCTGTAACCTGTGTGACCACGGATCCATGTCTGCCTGTGACCTGTCTAAACCCCTCAACTAGACCCAACTTGAGACACATCTCCATCAATAACATACACAAAAAGAATCAAACCAAGGCTAAAGCATGTTGGATGTTTCACTGCCTTGTTGTAGGCCAACACAGAACGTGTGGGCCTGAGTCTGCTTCAATTGGAACATGGATATGCAGCTTTAGAGAAGAAAAATGTAAGCTCCTTTTACAAGAGGGTGGTGATATTGAAGGATTAAACCACAAACCAACTACAAATTAAATAGCTTACTGTGCTGCACTGGTCTCCAAACTCAAGAACCATAATCGTGATTCCTTTCTCCTTCAAACTGCTGCACGCTCCAGCTGTAATAATTTTCTCCACTTATTGCCCCTTTTATTGGATAGCCTGCAAAGAAGAAATGTGTATGTTGGACCAAAAATTTCATTGAAAGGCATTTGCTTGACATATTTTCCATTGGGATTTACATAATAGGTCACGTTACGGATTTGAGGTTGATTGTGTAATGAATACAAAACAGTTAAGGAGTTTTCTGTTCATTCTGAAAAAGGAGAATTAAAAAACTACGTAGCAGAGAATTTACTAAAAGACACTAGAAGACGATTCACTAAAGTTCTGTCCATCTCTATTCATGTCTTACAAATTATTCTAGTTCCTGTCAAACTCCTCTACATCAAAAGTGCTCCACATGGAGAGGTTTCTAACCTATGAAGCTCAAACACGCCTCTTAAATGGTGTGCCCTTGTGTTTGACACGTATTGGACACAAACACTCGTATGACACACAGTGGTGAAGTGTCCAATTAAAAAAACATATTTTAGGTCTATGCTATAATTCTGACATGACTTTAACACAATATTAATATAGTGATTTTCTAAAAACTCAAACTGGTTGTGTAAGTTTGTATTATAATCATAGAAATTAGGAGTTTATCCTATATAATAAAGAATATTTAGATTGTATATGTATTGTCGGGAATGTTTTTATTTATTATGTTATCATATTTTTATATAATATGAAATTTTTTGCAAGTTGTTAATTTGTCCTTAAATGAATCTGTTAAATTATTATTTTTTAAATGATCGAGAGAGGGATGAAATGTCTTAAATTATATCCTCTTTCCACTTTTTGGATTTTAGATAGACGAATTAGATTAATTTTTGTAATGTGTGACTATATATGTTTAGATTGTTTTGTTATATTTGACTAACTTTGTTTATAGGTGATTTTGAATATATAATTCTTGGTTGTCAGTTTAAATAATTCATAATGATGTAATATGTGTATCTATGTGTCGTTGTGTCCTACATTTTACAGATTATACTTGTAGTGTCCGTGTTCATGTCGTGTCTGTATTCATGTTGTGTCCGGTGTCCATGGTAGTATCCGTGCTACGTAGTTTTTAACACCCACTCTTCCCATGGGATTACAGGCTGAGTAAAACTTTTGGCAACACCTCAAATGATCTCTGTGTCTATTGTGATTTTTGATCTATGGAACATGGAAACGTGGAAGGTGTTGATTATTTTTTACTACTTAGGGCTTCACTTTTTAAAGTAACCCACTACTGGAAAGCTGCATCTCAGTTGTTGAAATGACTGAGCTGCAGAGATTTTACTATCGATCGAGACTGTTGATCTAACAAACATAAGTAGAAAAATAATAAAAGCTGAATTATCTGATTATAATAATTGGATATTTTCCAAATGATATGAGATACTTAGGTTATTCACCTTAAAGAAAATATTGATGATAGGTGTAAATAATGATGTCGGATACCAGGATCTTGTAGCCAGAACTTAGAACTGTGGCCAATTGGCCATGTATGATCATCGTGGTACAGCTTATGTTAACTTTGTTTCAGTCTGAAATTGCAGGTTACCGAGTCAACTTTGTTAATTCTATATATTGTGATTCCAAGAAAAATATGGAAAGTTTTTTGCCCTCAAATATATGAAATTTATCTTGTTCTTGAAAGTGGAAATCTTTTGATGTATTCCATAGGCGCAGTTCCCACTGGTTCCCACTGGCAAGGCTTTTTGTTGTACCTGTCTATTTATTCGCTTGTCAACAGAACTTTTATTTCACTAAATAAAAATCTGCTTTCTCAGTTATTATTCTGCTTCTTACTGGACATTTCTTGACTTGATCATGGCACCAAATCGGGTTGTAAGAGAATGGGTTATTCTCTACCCCTACTAACTTTGGAGTAAAGTCAACAGCAAAAAGCTTAGTGTATAGGAATGTGTTGAGTGGAGATGGTTAATTAATATCGAAAAATAAGTACAAAAAATGGAAAATAGTGCTTTAAAGTAGCAAAAAAGTGCATGACTGAGGCATATAAAGTTATGCAGAACAGGTTAGTAACACTTGTATTTTCTTAGTTCAAAAAGAGGCATACAATATTCATTCAAATATTATTTAGTCTTTTCTTTGACACTTGAATTACAGTTCTCTGCAATTTTTATTTATTTTGGGTTCGAATAGATTTTGAAGGGTTGGGCTAGATAGTGCCAATATTAATGCCAAAGATGTGCTTTTCTATTGTTTACAATTGTCTCATGCCCAGGAAACAGTTTATCTTTGAATCCTTAAATAGCTTGGTTTTTAGTTTTACCTAGTCCAAATGTTTTGAGTTTCCATAAAATTGTAAAACTGTTATAAGCTTATGAACATTTGGATTTACTTGAAGTTTGATTCTCAGATTCTGAGACGGAAGGCACATACTCCTACTACATTTAGAGCACTACGTAATGTAGGGAAGTGGTGAATAAAATGATTGTGATTTCATTTATGTTACAAACAAGAGCACTACGTAATGTAGGGAAGTGGTGAAGTGTTTACGGAGCCAAAAAAAGATTTTACAATTAGTAATGTGAACTGGTTTCTTGTTGGTATTTTACTACATATATTTTCTCTCTTTTTTCGGTTGACAAATGCTGAGGTTCTGAATCAAGGTATTAGAAAACAACACAATCAAAGAGAGAAATGAAGAGTGAGTCAGTTTGAAAGAGGAAGATATAGAGAATTTTTGTGGGGCGTGCGTAGAGAGAGGTGCTGCTTATGTTTGGATTTGTTGTGACGTGGGAAAAATGTATGTGGAAAGTGCATGCAGATTATCCCTTCGACGGCTTGAGCATAAGACAGCTCTATTTTGTTATCATAATCTTACCAATTTTATGACTATTTTGTTTAGAAGATCAAGTTTATTAGATCTGTTCCTATATTATTCAGATACTATAAATATATGATTTAGCTGTCGAATTATCTGCTAGTGCGATACATATTCATAGGGGGACTCAATATTATTATACTTTGCTGTTTTTTAAATTTAACGAAGTTGTAAATGTGATGTGTTCATATCCTAGCAAATTTAATATTATCTCATGCTTAATTCTTTTCCTTTTTTTTTCTTTATTTTGTATTATATTTATTTATTTATTTATTTCGTAAATAATTGTTTTCTGTGATGAACTATAAGCTATGTGCAGGGAAAAATTTATGCTGTCTCATTCAATTGTCACTTTTGAATGGACTGCATTTTTGTATTTTTTTTCTTCTACATGTGTAATTCTCTATTCCAGGAACATCTTGTGTTTTGATCAATTTTATATCTTTGCCTTACAGAAAAAGCACGACACGATAAAATATTAAAAAGTATTAAGATTATTTTTTTAAGTTAATCATATAATGTTTAAATTAAGATAACTTATATCAAAGTTATTTACAATTTTCTATAAATAGTATTTTAGTATGTCTGGTGTACAAGGTAAATATAAATATATTTTTAATATAGTTGTAAATCATAATAAGTACATTTTTATTATGGGTTAAATATGTTTTTACTCCCTAAACTATTGGCCGTTTCTGGTTTTCGTCCTTCTTTCAAAGTAAGGTACAATTTGGTCCTCATTCTTTTCGAAACGTTCGTTTTAGTCCTCGGAATTTTGGTTTTAGTCCTCATTTGTTGCTAAACGAGGACCAAATTTTTAAACAGTGTTTAGTTTTTGAGGACTAAAACGAACGTTTCGAAAAGAATGAGGACCAAATTGTACCTTACTTTGAAATAGGGACGAAAACCAGAAACGGCCAATAGTTTAGGGACTAAAAACATATTTAACCATTTTATTATTTAAGTTATATTATAATGAAATTCATAAATATTTAAATATATAAATTATATTTTTGAATTAGTAATGAATAATTTAAAATATGTTATAATATTATTTTCAATTATTAATATTTTTAAAATATTGATATTTCATTAAAAGATCAAGCTAAAAATACATAGAATAGAAATATTTCTGTAAAATTCTGGAATTTTTTTTATTGTAACTCTGCCCCGTTTTTAAGTTATCGATTTGATTTTGGTATAATATTTCTAAAACTAAATTGTCATTGAGTTGTATAAAGGGCATTTGTAGTATTTTTATTGGTTTAAACTCTCGGATGGTCCTCGTATTTGTATAGAATTTCAAGTGGGTAATCATATTTTCAACTGTCTCAATTCGGTTTATATATTTGCAAAATATCTCAATTCGGTCTAAATATTTGTAAAATTGAGTCAATTTTGTCCTAACCTTTAAGTTGCCATAAACGGCGTTAAAATGTGCTAAAATGGATATGCTGAGGTGGATATTTTATTAAAAAAATATACTGCCAGTGATGACATGAAATTTAATAAATTAAAAAAAAATAGAAAAATTATACAATTTGGAAGCTCTCTCTTTGTTGTGGGTGGATAAAGGCAAACCTTACTCTCTTTCTCGAGAAAGAATACAATGGTCATGCTCAACCAAATTCTGAGATGGCTGAAGAAATCAAAGGTACTGAAACTTGTATGCCTTGCTGCTTCATCTATTGTTGGATTTCTCTGTTATGCATTCAGTTCCTCTTTCAACCATTTACTGGGAAATTGGAACTGGTGGAAGATGCTTCTTTACATTGTTTTAAGTTTCATCATTTGCTTTGCCGTCTTGTTCGCATCGGCAAGGTCAAGCTCCACCTTTATCGGCTGGAATCTCATGTGTCATTTTTGGTTCTCATAATCACTTCTATTTATTCCTTTTTGTTTGATAATTTCGTGAAGGGTAAACCAGATGCATACAACGAGATCCAGCAGGCCCAACAAGGCCACCTCAAATTCGTCAGTCCATCCCAAGCCTGGGAACTCCACGGTCATCCATCACCGCAACCTCTATGGTTGTTCCGTTTGCAGCAACCACCCACAGACACCCCGAACCAGGAACTTAAAACGCATAAAAACCCAAAATTTCTCACAATATACCCCTTAATTCCAGAGATGAATCTCTTATCGCAACCATCAACCTTAATCGAACCATAAGAACGTGGAAACCCAATTTCAAATGGAATGAAACCCTACATCTGAAGTTGCAGAAGAAATAAGATGATTGATTAGAAAACCCCCAAATCTTCAGGAACAACTGAAACCCTAATCGCAATCTTAGAAGAGGAAGAGGATTGTGTCGTGAATCATGTTACCAATGAGTAGCATTGGTAAATTTGAAGATAAATGATTTTGATGATGCTGCAAGAAGATAGACTGTTCTAATTGTTTTAAAAGCACTTTGTAGATTATAAATGTATTAGGAAAGGCTTTGGACATGTAATACTTAGAAAAACTTGTACTTCCAGAATTGTTACGCATTTAATCGATTATTAGAAGTTATAATGGATTATCCTGAGCTTTTCTGAAAACCTTGTTGGTCTGGAATAATCGATTATCACTGGTTCTGATGAGAACTGCCAAAGTCTCTGGAATAATCGATTATTCCTCAGGATAATCGATTATCACTTTTGAAAAACCCTGTAACGGACTCAAATAATCGATTATCACTAACAATAATCGATTATCTGTGGCAATTATAATTCATCTATGCGAATTCAGAATAATTGGCTATATAAGGTTCTTCCAAAACTCTAAGAAGACAACTCTGAGCTTTTTAAGAATACAGTTTGTCTGAGAAAGTTCCAAAAAGCTAGTTCAAGTGCTTTGGAAATCAAAACTCTATAACGGTACCGATTGTTTCGATAAATCAAAACCTGCAGAACAGGAAATCAAAATCGTGCACCCAAAACGCCTCGCCGCACCACAAGAAAGGAACTCTACCAGGCCCAGCGAAGAAAGAAAGAAAGGACGCCTCCCTGAGTCGCATCATCTCCTCCCTGCAACTTTTGAACAGAACCAGCAAAAAAAGAGGGGAAAGAAGAAGAACGCTCAACACGTAATAAAATATTTTGACATCACCGTATTAATTTTTTTTAATTTATTAAATTCCATGTCATCACTGGCAGTATATTTTTTTTTACTAAAATATCCACCTCAGCATATCCATCTCAACACATTTTAACGTCGTTTGTGACAACTTAACGCTTAGGGCAAAATTGGCTCAATTTTACAAATATTTGGACCCAATTGAGATATTTTGTAATTATATAGACCTAATTGAGACAATTGAAAATATGAGGACCCACTTGAGATTCCTATACAAATACGAGGACCATACGAAGGTTTAAACCTATTTCTATTATAATGAACCACACAAAGTTAGGTGTTTTTGGTGCATAGGAAAAATGTAATACGTAGTATTTCTTTTCTAATAAATGACAATTGCCTCACAAGATTATATATAATATATATATATATATATATATATAGAAGATAAAGAAAAGGATTGTGGAATGGAAATTGTATATTTCGAAATTAATCTTTTATACTTGTTTTTATGTTTTTATAAAGAAAAAGTCCTTCTAGGTAGCTTTTGAGATTATTAGATAATTGTTGAACATACTAATTTCCTATCATGAGTCTAATAATATAAAGTTTATAATGAAAATGAATATTCATTAATTAACTTTCATTCCTTTAGTATGAAAATTTTATAGTATCTGAACTTATCAATGAATCGTAATTGAAAAGTTTAATTAGCATGTTAGTTGTGATCATGCTATGATCATCAATGAAGTTGAAATTGGTTTAAGTTGGTATTTAAAACTTTACATGTTAAGTTTAAAGACTCTAAAAAACAAATTATTCGATCCAATCCTACTCCACCCTTATGGGTTACTTTATGGATCAATCAAATTCAACATG